CAAACACACTGCTAGTGCAGTGCAGCATACTTGGATAGAAAAAACACACAGTGGAACGCTATCGGTCATGGATTGGCCTCCCCAGAGCCTGGACCTCAACATTATTGAAGCAGTGTGGGATCATCTTGACAGAGAACAGAAGAAAAGGCAGCCAACATCCAAAGAAGAGCTTTAAATGTCCTTCATGAAGCCTGGAGAACTATTCCTGAAGACTACTTAAAGAAATCACAAGAAAGCTGCATGTTTTGAAATATTATTGCATTCATTCCCCTTTTTCATTGCACAATATATAGATATGGACTGCTTTTGTGCCCATTTACTTGGATTCTACTAGGGTAGCTTTCATTTAATTCACAGACATAATGGACCCTGGTGCAGCCCATCAATCTGACACACCTTCTTAAGCTCCTTTTCTTCTACCTGATCACACAGGTTACTTATATATATATATATGTTATACATGTTAACCTTGTTATTTGAAACTTTATCTCATATAACACATGACCAAAGTTTTTCTTTCGAGCTAAAATATTGAAAAGTCTAACAGGTCTATTTTAATGCTTCAGGAATACACATGGGAAAAAACCCAGCTGATTGCTGTTTGAACTTACAGGTGTTTATCTGGAAAGCCTGCAGCCTTTGTAGCATCTTTAACAACCGTTTAAATCTTTGTTATCACACATATGAACTGATCACACTGCAAATGTATGTATGGAAACTTGTAAACAATACTTGTAAAAGTCTGTTACCTGGCGGCCGAAAAATTAGGGGAAGAGCAGCCCCAGAATCAGCGTGGACAGATGACTGTGGAGACAAAGTGGTCATCCTCCTTTAAATCACATCTGCACAACATAGCTCCTTCCACTTAACAATACTTTAATAAGACTGATAGCAAGGAAATCTTAATTTAGGGTCATTTCTTGCAAGACTTACAAGTGAGATGGTCAGTGCAGCTTCATCCTAGTAGAGAAAATGAAAGAAAGAGAAGTAAAACAACCTGCAGCAGGTTCACAGTGTTGTGTACGTGACCACTGTGCACTCAGATCCTTCAACATAATCTGACCTTTTCATTTAATTTTTCTCCGCTTCCAAGGAGAGAGTGAGCCTTTTGTATCTCAGGCTGCGGAGAGCAGAATCACAAGGTAAACATCAGGTACTTTCCACTCATCCCATAATATCGAATCACTGCAGTGGTTGCTACTCACGTCAGATGAGAGCAGGAGGGTTGGATTAAGGAGATTAACCCAGATCTTGAGTCGACGGAGGAAAGACTGTAAAACAGGAAAAGTGTAGTCATGAAAAAGCGTGAGAGAAACTAATTCCATGGTAACTGTGAGAGGTGATGCTATGCATGCTGTGCACCGTTACCTGTCCCTCTGCTTTCCAGTACAACAGGTTAGGATCCATTAGAACAACGAGTACATTCACGTTTCATAAATTAAATCACTCACAGTGACACTATTACACTACATGGCCTACAAGCATGCATTTCTCATGCTTTTGAGGTCAACTTCTAATTAGACTCGACTTCCGCCACCAGTCACGTGTTCGCAGAGGTTTATGCTACATTCAGGGATATCTGATATATCAGGCGTCGCGTTTGTTTGTTTTTTAACTTCCTAGTGGCTTTCTGCTCAGCGTGTTCAACAGAAACCACAACAACCAATTTAGCATTTTTACGGTCAAACAAACACAATTTAAATTAAAAAGAAAAAAATATCAGCTTCGTGTTTCGCTCACTTAAAATATTTTTGTCTCAATATTACGAGCTGTACCTGAAGGTACCGTGACTTTAGCATTTTCTTTATGCGCCATAATTTGTCACAAAATACGTTTTATGGTCGGCATATTCGAGAAAATGAGCTGGCAAAATATTAATACAATTCATTTATTTTTATAGTTTTTCCTTCCAAGGAGAGGTTGGAATTGAGCACGTGCGTAATAACCTGCTCAACCGTGCCTCCAGTGACATAATCCAAGATGGCAGCCACCATTGGAAAACTGCTCAGGACCTCTGTAAGTGCAACTTTATATAACGTTACTTTGCATTTGTTATTCGCGCTGTTGCACATAAGTCATTAGTCAGTGTTGATAGCAGGTATTGATTAAAATAAATAAATAAATGAAAAATTGTCCTCCGCATTTATGTTGTGTGTGCTGCACATTTGAACCTGAGCACCATCTGTCACCGGTGTCAACCCGCGGCAACTGCGCAAGCCTCGCTTCATAAGAAGAGCGATGAGTGGAGTTGTGGTTATTCCTAAACAAAACCTTAAAAAATGACGTTCGTGACTTAAATAGAAACGTTAATGTCGCCATCTTGATGCATTGTACTAGAATTTTCTATGGTAAACAGGGTAAAAGTTATGAACTGAGTTGCCTTGTATTAAGATAAAAAAAAGAAAAAAAAAGAAGGTCGCATACAATTAATCTCATTAATTACACAAAGTCTTAAAGAAAGGAAGGCGGGAACACAACAGAGGTTCAAATTTAGTATGATAATAATTACCACCTGTAGGCAACTGCTGTGTTCACTTTGTAGGCCATGACTAATATAGATTTATTATTATTATTATTATTTGTATGAATGGTAACAGAGCTGGGGCTGAATTGTGTTCAATATTAAGGCAGTTTGTTTTGCGTGATTGAGCTGTTGTTGAATTTTATTCTGCAGTCCACATGCTTCAAGAGCCCCAGCTTTTACTTTAAAGGTATGGTGTATAAAATCTCACCACTAGATGTCAGTAAAACCTACTTTCCACCCCCCAATATAAGTGCATGTTTCTAGCTATGTTGAGCGCTGTAGGACAACCAACTCTGGCTGCTGTATATCTTAGTGACTGTTTACCTCAGTTGTGGTATATCTATGTCCATTTACTCTGGAGGAGGCTGTAAAACTTTGAAAGCAGTCTGAAGCAAGTCGATTAGTCAGTGAAGCTCACTTCTATTTGAAAGCAATACTGATGCGAGTTGTTGAGAATATCCTGAACCTTTATGTCAGCAAGCACCGATGATTTTGCTGCAGTTAGCCATCATTAGTGAAACTTTCTTTGGAGTGGATGTAACATTGTTGGACAGACATTTAGCCAATAAACTCCCATACAATGTGAGAATGTAATCAACATATTTATCAGATGGAACTCGAGCTGGCATAATGTTGGCTTATGACCAGCTGTTGTTGTTTTAGCCGGCTCATTATCAGCCGTTTGTTTGCATGTCTAACCTGCTACAGCTGGATGACAGTGTCCAGTGAGAGCATATTAGTGCAGTTTGCCTAGTAGTGCAATGTTACTGTCCCCACCCTTTCCATCAGTCTACAGGTTTAACAACTCTTACAGCAGAAAACTTGCACAATCAGTAACATTTGGCACATGGCAGACATTAGCATTAACAACGATGATCCTCTATCTCCCGTGGTGTAAATCTATTTTTGCTTTGTCCTTTTTGTTCTTTCTTAAATACAGTTTATACTGGTGCTGGTGGGGATGGGGGTCCCTTTCTGGAAGCCTCAGCCACTGTTTGCTGTCTGACTCATTAGAATACCTTCCACATGTTGTACTTCTACACATAAATTGATTTATGTGTAATGTGCAGTCTTCAAAAAAGGAAACCATACAGAAAAGTTTCAGACGCATCGTAGTGGTTGATTCTTTGCAGGTGGACCAGCGATGTCAAACTAATCTTACATCATGAGCCACATACAGTCCACTTTGATCTTACATGGGCCAGACCAAAGAAATTCCTCTTTTACAGTTTAACCTCCTAAGACCCAAACTCTTCAACGACATGAATTTTTAATTTCTCTTTGATATTTGGTCACATTGGGGCCTGACGAATGTAAAAACAAAGAATTACCAGTGAACACCAGATGTGGACGCCAGGTCATAGGAGCTTAAAGAAGTTTAACTACAAATTCAACGTGCAAATATATTTTCTCCACATTATAAAGCTTTTTTCTTTTTTTTCTCTTTTTTGTAGTAAGTGAAACAAAATGAACAGAATCTGTCAGCACAACTTTTTAGGTTTAAATTGTAAAAAATACATGTTGAAAATCGCATTAAAATTGTTGTAGATCATGGCCTAGACTGCCCTGTAATAATAATAATAATAATAATAATAATAATAATAATACAAACTTTTTGCTAATTTATAGAAAATGTCTTTTTTGTTTGTTTGTTTCTGTAAATAAAGACATTTATCGTTAGGGTCATTTAATTTTTTTATCCTTGACTCAAGTAACAGAGGTTAATTACGCAATGTCTGTTATTTAAGTTGTAGTGTAAAAATCCAAAATGAATGTCATCACATTTTCCAAAGGTGCCTAGCGACCAGAGTCTGGAGTCTTTGCTGGGTGTTATCTTTGACGGCCCTGCTGTAAACGGCTTTGTTATAGTGCCTTTTTAATAGGGATTGTTACAGTGATGTACAGTAAATGAGTCACTGCAGGGGAACTGCCCGCATAGTTCAGAGCGCTAATGTGGTTTTATTCTGAGCTGATGATAAAGTCATTGAGGTCCAGTGATTGCTGTCTCTGACTTTGATGCATTTATTATGAACATTGTCAGGTTAAATGTGACGTCAATAATGCCTAACAGGGATTTCAGTATTCGTAAAGATACAGACTTCTGCAGATGAGTGTCCTTCAGTATGAGCTTTGATATCAATTATATGAATGAGGAAATAAAAACTGAGTGTCAGACAGCTGCTCCAGCTGCAACAGGAGGGGAGGAGTCAGAGAAACTTAGTGTGGAGGACAGGGCACTCGTTACTGTTACTGCAGAGCACGACTAAAAATTCTAACTTTAGAAAGCTTTGTTGTGATTTATTTTTCCTTCTGTTAGTAACAGCACTTGCTGATATAAAACCCCTGCTGCGGTTTCACCATTTGGGAGCCAAAGCAAGTGGATGACTTAGAAACTTATAGAGGCAGTGTAGCCTCAGTTTCCTCCTATTTTTGGAAATTCTCTTTGATATCCCAGCTAAGCAATTCGTTCAACAAGTTTTGAATAAAAAATAATTTCTTACCTAAAGGTGGTGCGTGTTGATAGACAGAATCTCCGCACACACACACAGCGGGAATGTTTCCTCAAGCTACTCCAGAACACACTGTAGCCGACATATAACAGTACGGTGTCGCAAAAATAAATCCATTTAAATAATTCATAACCCATGTTGGAAGAAAAGTCACTTTAAAAAGTTAAAGTGGCACATGTGTTTTTGAACTATTTATGGTGGCAGTGTATGTGCAGTAGGAACATTTAAGATGTGCTGCTCACGTACTCTCTGTATATAACATAGCAGTGGAATATCTCAGTGTGAGTATAGTATTTAAAGAACGAGCAGTACTCACAAAGACCTTGGTTTAGTTCAGTGTGGAGAAACTGTTGGGTTAGACCTTTAATTTTATCAACTCAAATTCATTAAATAACCTCTCATTTTAAAATGTTTCTTAACAAGGCTTGTTTAATGCTGGAGGATCTTTCTTTAAGCACCACCATCACCTTTGCTCACTAGATTCTCAGGTGATACCAATGAAGGTAAACCATGAAAAACATGATTAGAAGACATTTTCCTTTCACGGAGGACAAATTCTTTCACTGGTTTGAACACTCTTGAATGTATCTGCAAGCTTGAAAGCATTGATACCTTTTCGTTTTCCAGTCCTAAACCATTGTTGCAGTTAGTAAAATGGCAACTTGATAACTAAAAGAGCTAAATATCCTTCCAGATTATGGATTATTCATGTC